TGGAGCAGAAGTATTGATTGACTCACCACAAAGAGCTTTTCCCCCAGGTGGACAGACAGACTTCTTCAGGCAGAGTATGAGGAGGTCCTCAGCTGCCGGCGTGCTTTTATGATGTCAGGGAGATGGAACAGTCTTTGTAGTTAACAGACTGGGGAACTTTCAGTTACAGCCAATGCCATCATGTGGCAACAGATAAGGCATCGCATACCTTTCCTGGCCCTTATGCCGAGGGTTGCCGACCCCTGGCTTATAGGTTTACTTTGATACTCCATGTTTACAAGGACACACCAGAAGGAATGAGGGGACAGGTCTCAGTCAGGGCTTTTACCACTTTATTCTGCAGTGTTAGTTGCTGTTTTGCGTTTGCTGTACAAGGTGCAGAAAGTCATGGTCATCTGTCTTTGCTAGGCACTCCTGAATAACTGTTATGTTCGTGATATTGTTTAAACAATCCAAATATTTGAAAAACAATGATATTTATTTTCTGTCTTTTTGGATGTCAATAATACATTCTTAAAACAAAAGACTTTATGCATAACTTGAGCCAATCAGCCATAACATTATGACCACCCGCCTAGTATTGAGTAGGTCCCCCTTTTGCCACCAAAAGAACCCGTCGAGGCATAAGCCCAATAGAGCTCTGAAGGAATGCTATGGTATCTGGCATTAAGTCGTCAATAGCAGATCCTTTATGTCCTGCAAGTTGTGAGGTGGGTCCTCCATGGATCAGACTTGTTTTTCCTGCACACCCCACAGATGCTCGATCGGATTGAGATCTGGGGAAATTGGAGGCCAAGTCAAAACTTCAAACCTGTGTTCCTCACACCATTCTTGAAGCATTTTTGCTGTGTAACAGGTGGTATATGTCAAAGTAACATCCACATGATTAGCAGAACCCAAGGTTTCCCAGCAGAACATTGCCCAAAGCATTACACTGCCTCCGCTGGCTTGCGTTCTTTACATAGTGCATCCTGGTGCCATCTTTTTACCCAGGTAAGTGACACACACCCGGCCATCCACATAATGTATAAGAAAATGTGATTCATAAGACCAGGCTACTTTCTTCCATTGTTCTGTGGTCCAGTTCTGATGTTCACATGACCATTGCAGGTGCCAAAATGCAACAAACAGGGATGCACTGTGTTTTCAGACACCTGTCAGACTGGGTCACTTCACCTGTCAGTGATCATAATGTTATGGCTGATCGGTGTAGATATTTTATATGTAATATGTTATAAGTGGGGACAGGCTCAACTGGTAGTGGCAGCACTAAAAACAATACACAAGACAGGGACACCCAGGAGCAGTCCAAGCAGGTTTGTCCTGTACTTTTATTCAGCAAGACAGCAAACAAACACTGTTAATGCAAGAGGGCTTTGTACAGCAAGTCCATGGTATAAAATATTAGGGCTGCAGCTAACGATTATTTGCATAATCCCCCCCCCCCCCCCCACTAACTATCCGATAAAGAGAATAGTTGCCAACTATTCTTATTATCGATTAGTTGTTGCAGCCCTATAAAATATACTAAACATCTGCTTATCTGAGGCATTTTATAGTGTTCTGTCAGCACTCAGACTTTTTCGGCCAGCAGCAGGCGCCCACAGCATAGAAAGAGAGAGTGATGCTCAGCTCACATATATAAAGGCCTGTGGACAGTTGACACTTAAAATAAGGAGGTCTGCCTTACAGGTAATATGCGGACCTACGAATGGAGACTTTATCCCAATCAAAGCTCTACGAAGCCCTCAGGCTCCAAGACCCAGAGTAGAACCTGTTAGGATTCTCAAAAAACAATAAGTTTGTTTTCTCCGTAACACACAAATCCTTAAGCCTCTCAACATGTGTTGGTAAGAAACCTAGGTGACACACCATCCACAATCCTGCCCTCCATTGCCTCACAATATATAATGCAGAGGTAAGTACAACGAATTCTTCACACAGAACATTCAAATTCTTTATGATATATACATTTGCTGGCAATAATTGTGCCTAAGCTTACTGAAGACAGCTGAAGGACGATCACCCTTTTAACTGAGTGTTTTGGGGGGTTTTTTTCGTTTCACAAAATTGTATCAGCAGATGAAACAAATAGTATATATCGATATTTTTATTCAACACATACAATTGAACATTTCTTCCAGCTCAGAAAATCTTCTTTGTGTCGATTATCTCCTCTCAATTTAGCACAGCTGACACTATTTTCCTTCTGATAGCTACTGTATAGAGTTCTTACAGGGATCACATTACTCCTATTATGGAACAGGGCATGGTTGAGTTGTCAGTTCGCTTCACTTCATAACTGCATGCGGTTTTGTTAAATACAGCTACACATCCTGGGTCCTTAGGGACAGGTTTGTCAATCCTGCAAAGAAAGATTAAGTAATTTTATTTATATAAGTACATTTTATAGATTAGAAGTTTTGAGTAGTGAACCAGTAGCAGCCTCGACACTCCAGCTATGCTGAACTACAAATTCCATCATGCCTCTGAGAGTCATGGCTGTGACAATCAGAGTCATGCAATGCCTCATAGGACTTGTAGTTCCACAACAGCTGGAGTGCCAATGTTTCCTATCTCTGGTTTAATGAATCAGTATTACAGACAAGTACTCTATGACCGTTACTCTTAATGGCATTGTGGACATCTTTCTCTTAATCTGGGCTGAGCACCGGCCAGGGTGAACATGTGATTGTTGAAGATTGTATTGTACAGCCTTGCGATCACTTACTCTGTACAGCAGGTTATCGAACCGTCTGAGTAACAAGTGCATTTATTACAATCGTTTGTGAACCACGTTGAATCAAATTCTCTCATCATGTCGTCATCCATGCATCCTGAAAAACAGATCAGTGGAAGAACAGGAAATGTAAAAAGTTGTAGAGATAAAAGCATTCTGACTCCAAGCCTATAAAATAATCACCAGGTTCCTGTATACTAGTATTAAACATGGCAAAAGTGCCAATTCCATGGTTTTGGTACAAGCTTGTATGTGGGCATGGCTTTGCCTGAGATAGGCAGAGTTTGCCAGTGGGTGAGTGTCACTGTAATTATAACTATGAAATATAAGGTATGATTAGATGTTGCTGTGTCTGCATGTCATTAGCTATCCATCTGCGTTGATTTCTTCAGTCATCTGCTGAAGAAGTGGGGCAATCATTCTGCATTGATTTCTTCAATCATCTGCTGAAGAAGTGAGGCAGTGAATCTAAATAAACTAAAACGAAGAGAACAAATCTTTTAAAATAACAATGGATGATAAATATTAATTCCAGAGGGAAGCTAACATATCATTTATAGGAATATGAGAAATCAGCTTGGTTTTTTAATGTCAGCCTGCTGTGACAGATGAGAGCAGCGGTGTGGGGGCGAAGACAGCTGTAAGCTGTCACAGGAGGCCGGGCCGGCAGTGCGGGGGAGGAGTCAGCTGTCAGAGGAGATTGAGATCTCCTCCCTGCACCGCTCCTTCAGCCTCCCGTGACAGCTGATCCAGGAAGGAGAGCGGTACAAACACTCAGTGATCGCTGACTGTAAATAATTAAGGCCAGAGTATGTTTACTGTGTCCTCAATTATGAATGAATAGGAAGTGCTCTACATTACTTCCTGTTCATTCATGATTGTGGACACAGTAAACATACTATCTCCACAAGTTATGAATGAACAGGAACACTCAGTATAGAGGATTCCTGATCATTTATAACAGGGGCGGCAGAAAAAGAGATTGAGGACTCTGTGTTCTCAATCTCTTTTTTCTGTTTTAAAAGGGGAATATCAGGGGTCTGTTTGTTACTGATGCTTTGTTTGCACAATTGGCAGCTATTTGTGTATTATCCAGTGCTGCTTCTTCTTGGCACATTTGCAGTGTACCAGTGTCAAATAATGGTCCCTTTGTGTGTAAAATGTATCCTGCTATCTAGAGATTAATGACTTATGAGTTTTCATTTGTCTAAACGTCAGTGAAAATCAAGTTCCAGATTGGTAACATTTTGTTTTGCTACTTATGCATCAGAGTCAATGGTAAGAATGACATTCAGGGGGTTAAGACGGATGCAGTGGGTTTTCAAATGTCTCCTAAGGGTTACCAACAACTATCCTAAACCCATCTGTGAAAAACTAAGTCAAGGCAACTGGACTTGCAGTATTTTTCCTGAAGGCTTTTCACTTGACATCCGACCAGCTTTCTCAATTCAGAATGACTTGTACAAAAATTCTCTGGGAATAAATATGCTGAATGTTGCTCCATTCCACATAATCTGTTAGTCACAACCAGATGTTGATTGCATTTGCATAATTAGAGTCTAGGAGGTCTTATTAACCTGCCCAGAGAGAGGTGTTAAAACAGCATTGTATGTGGAAGACAATAGATATCTCACCCCCCACCTCTATTCAAGCTTATACTTTTTTGTCATTCTGAATTGAGAAAGCTGGTTGGATGACCAGTGAAACGTCTTCAAGAAAAATACAGCAAGTCCAGTTGCCTTGACTCATTTTCTTTACAGATATACCATGACCTGGATGAATGAGAACCTTCACAGACATGTCCTAAACCTGTTCTTCTGACAAAGAATGGCCTTTCATTCTTTGGCAGAAAAAAATGTAAAAAGAGTGAGAGTACACAAAAAATGTAAATAATGTAACTCAATTTTTTTGCCTAATCAGCTCAATAATTGAAATGGAGGGTTTCACTGCTTCAGCGAAATTTTGATGTTGTGAAATTAGTCATTTTTCACCTAAACCCTCAAAATCACTCCACTCATTCATACTAGTGTCATTTATCACATTGTGAGGAACCTTGTTCTATTGCAGGGGTAGGCAACCTGGGCACTTCCGCTGTGGAGCAACTACAATTACCATCATTATTTTGCCTCTGGAAGTGATGCCTGTGGCTGGCAGAGTCATGCAATGCCTCATGGGACTTGTGGTTCCGTGGCAGCTGGAGTGCCAAGGTTGCCTACTCCTTTTATATTGAAAAAAAGAGATCCTTACCAGTGAGTTTTTCGCCACTTCTTAATCGTCTTGGCTCCATTCCACTACATGCTGCATCACATAACATTATTAAGAAGCCAGAAGCCAGTATTAGAAAGACCACATGGACCTGCAGAAAATCACACGATAAGGCATAATAGTATTGAATATTATACTATACTAATAATTTCCCCAATCAAAATATTCATCTTTGCATTGTTTGAGTGGGTACTATATTTATAGCCTGTTGGTCTTGGTGGAACATGTATACACTGATGAAGATTTTTCCTTCATGTATTTGAGCTTCAGACTAGGTTGTATACATTATAATTATGTATGGCCCCAGTAACATCTGTGAGTTGTGTTGAGGCAGGCAGCCCTTTCCTTTAAATGGGCCTCCAACCCCCCAGAACAGGCCTGTACCATTTTTATCAACTTAATTTATCAACACATTTCAGTGCATGCCAGTGAGTTACTATGCCTTGCTTTAGTGTGTTGGGGTGCCATTAAAATGAATTGCACTGCAAGGCAGTAATGTGATTAATAGTGGGTAATTGTCTGCATAGCGTTCTGTTTAGGCTTTTCTTCCTCCTTTTTTTTTTTTCTTCTTCTTATCTCTATAGGTTGAACTTGATGGATTGTGTCTTTTTTCAACCTGACTAACTATGTAACCATGTATTAGGCCAAAGCTATGATGCCAGCCCAAAGGGTTTGTCCAACCAAAACTGACATTTAAGGTTTGGTAGATTCTTCAGAGCTGAATCATCTGCCAGCTTATTATGTGTGTAAATAACTTCAGAAATCTCTGTGCTCAAGTTATCAAGTCAAACACCTACTCTGACACCTGCTATGATGCCCCATTCCTCCAACTGAAGTTCTAGAGTTTATAATATGGACATTGTTATGATAGCACCGCTGAGCAGAAGGCTTGAGCCTTCAAAATTTTGAAAACTACATCTATGGGCTCGCTGCTTGGCTCCCAAGAGCTATAGTGAAATCACAGAGTGATCCACTATCTCTGCCTAGAACTGAGCTGTGACTTTAAACTGGGATAAGCCTGACAGAGAATGGTGCAATCATGTAATTGCTAATAAAGTATAATGAAGACAGAACATTAGAGGTGTGCTACAGTAACAATAATATATAATATAATAAAATGCTACAATAAAAATAAATAAGAACTCCTTTACCTTAAGCCCTCATTCACACTAGAAAAGGCCGGCACGAACAGCTCCGTGCTACGTGCATGGCCGTATCTGGCAGCTCCCTGGGAAGGACAGGTGCTGCGTGTGAGGCAGCTCCGTGTCGGGTAGCTCCCTCATTCCCGGGAGCTGCCCGATAAGGCCATGCACGCAGCACGGAGCTGTACGTGCCAACCTTTTCTAGTGTGAATGAGGACTTAAAGGAGAACTATGGGGTCAGGGCTTTTCCCCATAGTTCTCCTTAGGGTAACGGGAGGACACAAACTAGCGTCCTCCCGTCACCCTAAGCTCAGTATATCGTGAGCTACAGCTCGCGGTATACTGAGACGCCGCAGCTGAAACGGATCCCGACAATTATGTCTGGATCCGCCCAGCAGCGTGAGTGACAGCTGGCTCTGCCTATCTAGAGGCAGAGCCAGCTGTACCCACCCCTCCCCCGTCCATTCCGCCAGTCAGCGCTGGCGGATCGGAGGGGGGAATCCAGCCCCTCCTCTGTCACGGCAGAGAGCCGTGACAGGATGGAGAAGTGAGCGAACGCCGGTATGTGTTCCTTCCCGATCTACTAAGCCGACCTGTCTCATTGTCAAAGGTCGGCTAGTACTATGAGGTGAGTGAAAAGCACTCACCTCATACTTCTCCTTTAAGTAAAACTGCAGTTTAGTTAAAATATAATTATATGGCATAATAAAATTGCTATATAAGCCATTTTGTAATTTATTGACCATTCCATTTTAGTTTGCAGCTGCTGTAATTTTCTAGAAATGCGAAAAAAACCTCACTGCAAAATGGCAACCTGGAGGCATTCTGTAGATCATCTGTGCACAGAATGCCTCCCAGAAATGTCATTTCCTGCTTCTGTGATTGACTCATTTGATTTTCTAAGAAGTCTACGCTGAGTCGCTGTTCAGGTGTTCCCTGTAATAGAAATTCAATTATTTTCAAAGTGCTCTGCAAAGCAGCTGACAAAAACAGCAGCAAAAGAGCAAGAAGAAGATGTTGTCACCTTCAATTTGTCTGCTGCTGCCACTGATGGTGTCAGTGAAATTATGAATCAAAGTACCATTGCAGCTCAGCAGTAATGTTGCATTAAAGTACTGCACGTCTAAAGCCAAAACTTGGATAGAGTTGGACGATTAAAGCCACTGTTTGGTATGGTTTGTTTCCCATTGGGAGGATTTCCTTCACTTCCTGTCCTGGAGACACAGAAGGAAATGAAAGGAAATCTCTATTAAATAGGGGGATCCCCACCTTGACAGTTGTCACCAGAACATGTGTTCCCATTGGAAGACTTCTCTATTCTAGCGGCAGCCTTAAATGGTAATTCCAGTTGCTCACCAAATGGGAGAAAATTAAGTTACCCCAACAAATATGCCTCCACCCCACCCCGCTGGTCATACCTTCGCGTGATCTGCTGTCCCCCCACTGTAGTCGGTCAACTGACCACGTTGACCAGTGAGAAACCTTTCTTAGCAAGAAGCGTTTCCCATTGGTCAATTGCAGATCACTCACCGGTATGACCAGCAGGGGAGAAGGGACTGATTTGTCAGGGTAATTTCATTTTCTCACATTTGGTGAGAAACTGGAATTACCATTTCATTTTTACACTTACTGTCCTGCTGGGAATGGTCATCAGGAAAACAGAGACAGTGAGCTGACAGCAATAAAAACATAGCAGAGGTTCTAATCCTTCATAATCTATCCATAACCAAAAAACATGTTGGCTTCAGCTATATTTTAAGAAGTAAATACAGAATTTCCCTATACATATAGTAAAGTAGATCCTTTTTCTTGCATAAGGAACAGTTCTCTTACCATTGGAGAGGATCGTGAATTGGAGCCGTGATGCATAATTCATACAGAGAAGAGTAGCACACAAACAGAAGACAAGTCGTTGGGAAGATGACAGCGGAAGGTAATGTGTAGCTTTATGAACGAATGAAAGGTGTGGCTACAAGACACATCATCAGAAACGACACTCCCACACTTCCCCAAGGAAGGAGCTATTTGATGAATTACTAATTAAAAAGCTATTTTTAGCAGCTCTATAATATTTTATTTGTAATACTTTTGTAAAAGAACACGTGATCAGCTAAAGTACGTGTGAGAGAATGATGCCCAATGTAGTGTGCATACTCTTAAACGGTTATGTAAATGTTATTTATATCATCATCATCAACAACCTTTTTGATACTGTTCTCAGAAAGGTATGGCAAAAAAAAGACATATATGATGCAGACTGTCACTAGCATCGAAGAGTATCTATGGTCAAAGACAAAAAAAGTGTATTTCTATACATATTTATTCTATCCCACGCCTAATAATCATAAGCATCTAACGTTTGTAAACTAACTTATTGAAGATGCCCATAGGCTGAACTTCCTCAATGCCCTGAGAGAATTTCACTCAGCAGGGAAAGAGATGCAAAGCACGCCGGGAATCCAAGTTGTTGAAAGTGATGGGCAGACGGAAGGCAGCGCTCACTACATTGAAGCGATTTTTTCAAGCAAGCTTTAATTGCATTATGAAAAACAACTATATTATGTATTCCTATCACAATGCTGATGTTATTACAGGATAGCATATGCTGGGACTTTAGAACTCCTTTAACACAACAGTGTTTAAGGGTGGGTCCCCCCACCCTTAAAAAATATTAGTTTTATTACCTGCTAATCCTGCCAGTAGATTTGTTAATTCACCCTACATGTGACAGGCCAAGCTGTCAAGCAAAAAGGGCAGTTACATATACAGGAAGTCCCTGTCGGAGCTTTGAAATGATGAAAGCACCTATCAATCAACCAGCAAGGGCCATTGACTGCGATAGATTGGATGAAAGCACAGGGAGACCACCATCCTGCTGAATTAGGAGCTGGTGGTCTCCCTATTTACAAAAAGCCTCAAAAAGACAAAGTGGCAGGATCAACCAGTATTTATGAAATATTTACTCAACCATGCACAACTGCATTGACAAGGCAAAAAGGGAACTACTAACACAATGTTAGTATTTGGGTTTACATACACTTTAAGTTACAAGTCAGCAAATAATATCTAGCTACTGTGTGATTGTCAGGGTTTCTTATACTTCCTTGTCCAGTTGCTTGCAGCATGGCTTGTTTGCAGTGTGTCTGTTCCTCTTTGGCGCTTTCTTATGACCAAACCTGTTAAAATCATCATTCTGCAACTACTGACAAAACCCTTGACAAATTCCTGTCTCAGAGTGATTGTGGAACATCAGTTCACTATTTAACCATGAGCTTGTCTATTAAGTCTGCGCCCTTGTGTGTTTTCTGATCTACCAAGTGCTGTGCAGTTGTTCCTGTTCTCCATGTATGACCCTGGCTCTGGCTGACTGATCTCCTAGTTCCTGACTTCGGCTTATGTTTCCATTCATTTTGCTCTCTGTGTTCCCTAACTTCTAACTTCCCTAACTGCTTATCTTTATTCTTGTTTTCAATAAACTAATTTTATTTTTTAAACCTGCACTTTAAGTTTCTGTCTGGTTTCTTGGTTCTCTGACAGACACTGAAGATTCCGGCGTAGATGGCAAAACCTATTAATTTTCAAGCTGAATGAGAGAAAACAAAACGTATATGGCTAGCATAATTCTCATTGGCTCGTGGCTCTGAAACGTTTTATTTATAATTGATAGCTAAAAAAAGCTCATACCAGAGCAATGTTGGAATGCAAGCCTGATAGGGTCTGGAATGTGAGGAACAGTGCCATCATTTATCAGCCTCACTTCAGCACCTCTTAAACAAGGTCATAATACTGTATGGAGTGTGTCAGGTCTCAATCTCTTTGTCTAACTAAATGCCCTTTTCACCAGGGAAACAAATCAGCAGATCTGGAAAACTAGACATTCCAAATTTTAAGATCTTTTTTTATGTGATGGTATGGCAGTTTGTCCCTTATGCCATGGAAAGGAAACAGCGTACTGAGGCAGTATCCTAGTGCCTGGTGTGCACAATGTGGCTGATTTACTATGGAGCATGTTCAATCTGTAAAGTGAATATTCACTATACAAAGAAAAATGTGGTGAAAAGAATATCCAATCACCTGCAAGGAAATAAAACTGAATTTATGCATTCACATGATTGGATAATAGAAGTCAGCACAGCTTCACCACAATCACAAAGCTATATGAACATTTTTCAAAGTGAAAATGCTACACTTCTTTAGTAAACCGGCCACAATGGGTTTACATTTTTGGGAGGAGAGGGGGTGGGGGAGAGATGGGTTGGCACAGTTCTTGTTACCAGTGAGGTATTTAGGAAGGACAACAAAATTGATAAACTCACTCCTTCCCTTTATAATTTAGAAATAAAAGCCTTCAAAATGCATTTTTATTTTTAGTATTATTGTTATACAGGATTTATATACTGCCAACAGTTTGCACAGCGCTTTACAACTTATTGGGAGACAGTACAATTACAATACCACACAATAGAATTAGAAGGACCCTGCTTGTTTGAGCTTACAGTCTACAAGCTTTTTACTCACATGAACCTCTATGGTGCATCTTCTGTGAGTGAAGACCAGTGGTCCACTGCTGTAATATGTGCCAGCTGCTGCATCAGTCTTGTTGCCACCCCTCAATCTGACATCACATCTCTAGAGTCTCCTGGAGCCCGTGAGGTCCCCACTGCTGGACAGTCAATGGAAAGTGTCCACAGTATCCAGTCAGCGGCATGGGCATCCGAAGATGTACCCTTCTACACTGCGGAAGAATGAAGTCTCTGGATCCAGAGTGTCACATGACCCCAATCTCAGGTTAAGGGGGCTTTTAGATTTTTTTAAAAATTAAACCTAGTGATTAGTTAAAGGGGCTTATAAGGTAGTGGGGAGAAGTTTCCCAGACACACTTGTCAAAACAGTAGTGAAGAGTTTTATTTGTCCAGCTGTGGAAATAGATTGAATGCTCTTTTTTTCAAAAAAGTGAGGTATTTAAGCCAAAACAGGCTGCTTATTGTACACTTGTTTGGGACTTAGATTTCATAAAACATGGCATTTTATTCTTTAAACCAACCCTGTCATAAGACAAAGGCTGCAGAACCAAGTAAACCTGCAAAAAAGGTGCATAAATTCTTAGTTTTCCTGCTTCCTGCCCCAATAAAACGCTGTTCCTTTAAATAAAAACCTTAATCTGAAGTCGGCTAGGAAACTGACACTTTTAGGAGTCTCTCTGTTCTCCCTTACAATCAGCATGTTTCTTGTTAGCACATGAGCAGCAAAATACAACTGCTTCGTTTGCTGCTGCTCCAATTTTAAAGTGACATTAAACCCTCAGATTTTTAAACATAAAACAATACTGTAATGTGTGCCTTACTGTAATCCATGGTTGTTTCCCTTCTCTTTGCTGCTCTTCCTTTTAATCCTTATCTCTTCTCATGCTGGGCAGAACTTCTGTTTTGCAGCAGACTGCCTTGTCTCTGGAATGGCTACATGGTGTCTGTGTGAAGGTTCACAACCTGAGCCAGTACAACAGGAAGAGGCACTCAGCTGAAAAGGGAAATTCTCCCCCAGCATGAGAAGAGATACAGATTTAAAAGGAAGAGCAGCAAAGAGAAGGGAAACTACCATGGATTACAGTAAGGCACACATTACAGTATTGGTTTATGTTAAAAAATCTGAGAGTTTAATGTCACTTTAAGCTCTGCTGTACTGTGGACAGCAATAGGCTGATACCAAATTAATTTCAGGTACATATACTGCTTGCATTAAAGAAAAACCTTTCATGATGTATCATTGAATACAATGCTGCATTTATTTGTGTCTTATATCTGTCTGGAATTTAGCCTTAATTCATTATTAACACAATGACTCTCTTGATACAGTACAGTTGCTCAAATATTTCTTGTGAAACAGGTATCCAAAGCTACAATCATTAGCAATGTGGGGACATGTAATTGAAGACAATTGCATGGATATAAAGTAGAAACAATTATACCTTTGAAAACAGAAATGCATTCAATGCAAATTAGGATATAATAGTTACAAAATCCAGTGTGGAAATAACTCATTGTTATCACAAGCACAGGTGAGTCACACCTGCAAATGAAGAACCTATTGTTTCAGGACAGTCTTTGTTTCAGTATTAAGTTAGCCATACACATGAAGTTACTGTTTGATCAACAATTTTCTACCCAACTCTTTTGATTTTTCAGTTGAATTTTGTGGTGCCTCCCACGGCTGGAATTTTGGTCAATTCAGCGGGAATAAGCCAAAATTCTAGCTCTGTATAGCCAGCTTTAAACATTTTTAAGGCAGTTTTTCCAATTTATTCCTAAATGATGTTGATATTAATAAATGTTGTATGACAGATTAAATAATATGTGATTTCTCCACAGAAGAATGTTGACAATTTGGAGTACTGCAATACAAATAATGCAGGTGGACAAAAAAGTTATTGTGTATGTACAGCAAAATGTTTTCTTTTTTATATTTTGGATAGAGTAGAAAAGAGTTAAACACCCTCATGGGTTTATTTTTTAATGTCTATACAATTGAGGAAACTTTCCTTCTCTTCCTATTTTAAATGCATTAGGAAGTAAGAGGAAATCTCCCAAAGTGAGGATAATGCTCCTCTTAGATAGTTCACTTTGAAACAGGTATCCCCATTAGATTTCCCTCTACCTCTTGGTAAGAGACAAAGCTAACATTTTAAATTTCCCCTCAAATTCCTGTACAAGGCTGATTTATAGTAATCAAATGTTAACATAATCAGGAGGGAGAGACTTGGACTAAAAAAAAAAAAAAATGTCTCTTCATACCTTTGCTCTTCCCATCAGTTGCTCCTCTCATCCCACGCTGCTGGCGATGTCCAGTACCAAAAAGAGCATAGTCTGGATAATATCATCCCGTCCGGCTGTACACAGTTAATCTGCTATAGCAGGGGAGAAAC